AGGCTTGTATCACATTTCCTATCAATAGCCGAACAGTTTCATCATTACCTTGTGCTGGAGGGCTTGGCAGACCATATGGGATCTGACATGTGTGACTTACAATGGATGATTTCTATTTTTGATTACTTGTTATAACCAAAAAAATAACAAACTCTGAATCATGTGGAATGAGATTGGAGTGCTCTCGAGTGGCAGGCAGCTGTGGTGAGTACTCACAGAGGCCCAGGCTGGCTGGTGGGACTTCACCTGTACAGCTGTACCACATGCTGGAGGGCCCAACAGCCACACCTATATCTACTGCTGAGTCGGCTGCTGAGTGCAGGTCCTGCACTGCCTGAGTGCAGGCATCACTGCCCTGCTGCCCAGGCCGAGGCCTGGCAAGACACATTAGTCCCACCACAGCTGTATCTTGTAGCTGCTGCCAACTGTAGCTTTTAACTAAATCTCTATTGTTTTATTTACCAATGAAGACTCAGAGTCAGAGGCTGGGGTGAAAACCTGGTAACTCCGAGAGGCTGAGGTCCAACTAGCAGCCCTTCCTCCTTCACTGGCATCTCAGAGAGTCCTTCCACCACACCAAAGTCCCTCCCTACTACTTCCTGTGTGTCTCTCTATTTGTGTTCTGAACTCTAACTCCCTAGGATTGGTTTCTGTCAACTAGTTGCTGCTTCAACTCCTGACCCATAGCTGCTTTTATTTAATTAACACAGTCTTGGGTTCCACAGTGTGATCTAATATCATGCAGAAGGCACTGCTGCACAAGCCTTGAGACCTTTAAAAATGTTTATTTTAGTTCTTAAATTATGTGTGTCTCTATGTGGTGTTTGAAACTGAGTGCAGGTGCCCATGGAGTCCAGAAGTGTCTTCCAGATCTGCTGGAGCTGTAGTTGCAGATGGTTGTGAGCGGTAGGTGGTGGTGGTGCATGCCTTTAATCCTAGCAGATTAGGAAGCAGAGGTAGGGCCCCTCTTGAGGCCAGCCTAATCTACAGTGTAGGTTCCAGGACAACTAGAGTTGTTTTATAGAAAAACCCCATTTGAAAAACAAACAAAACAAAACAAAACAAATAAACAAACAAAACCAAAAGCAGATAGTTGTGAGCTGCATGGTGTGGCTGCTGGGAACTAAGTTCAGGTCCTCTGGAAGAGAAGCCAGTGTTCCTAACCTGAGCCAGCTTCCAACCCAAACAAACAGTAGTATAAGTTTGTATTATGTATGTACATATTTATTTATCTTATGTGTTCATCTATCTGCCTGTATGTCTGTGAAACACATGCATACCTGGTATCCTTAGAGTCCAGGAGAAGGTGTCAGGTCCTCTAAAAGGAGAACTTTTAGTAGTTGGTTCTCTCCTTCCATCTTGAATTGGGCTCGTGATTGCCAAGTTTACACAGCAATTACCTTTACCTTCTGAGTCACATTGCCGGCCTCTAAGGAATTCTGTGTAAATGTAGGCTGGTGGGTATTGCTCACATCTATTCTGTATACATTACAGACATATGTGAACAAGGATTGTTCAATGATCCACGGAAGACCAGGATACTGAGATTTCACTCAACCCTTAGAGACCAGCATGCTGGTAGAGTCAGAAATGTGTGCAAATATGGCCAAAAATTGGAAGCCATCCCCAGGAAACAACAGAAGTCCTTGGATCTACAGCCAGGAGCTTCTGAAGGAGAGGGTTGGTAGACAAAAAGAGACCAGTCCTGGCTTAAAACCAACCAGAGGGAAGAAGTGATGGAGACAGAAACTCCACCATCCTCAGTAACCCAGTCAACATACTTCAGTGGCCATCAGGTGCTCACCTCTCCTGAACACCTCAGGTCCAAATGTGAAAAGTACAGTCTTCCTCTAGAAGCTCTTGATCCTGTAGGCCAGGCAGACATGCAAATGGAGAATGACCATGCATTGTGGGAAATTCACAACAGGTCAAAATAGTCTGCCAGGCTGGGAGAGAGGGGGAAGTGAACAAAGATTCAGTGAAGAAAAGAGACAGGCAAAGGAGACGGGAACTAGACAAAACTAGCTTTTACTGGATCTACACCACAAAGGTGTGTGTGTGTGTGTGTGTGTGTGTGTAATGTCTGAATATACCACGGCCTATAGAGGGTCAATTTGCATGAGGCAAGAAGGAAGTCCAGTTCAAAACAACTTGGTAACTGGTGTAGGTTCAAATTTTAGAAGTCTAACATCAGGCAATTTATTTTAGACATTTTTTTAAAAATGGTTTTTTATTTCCTGTGCATTGATGTTTTGCCCGCATGCATGTCTGTGTGAGGGTGTTAGGAATCGAACCCAGTTCTCTCAAAGAGCAGCCAGTGCTTGTAACTACTGAGCCATATCTCCAGCCTCTGTTTTAGGCATTCTAATCACAGTATAATTTGGAAAAGTTTTCTGGTGTAACATAATCCTGTGCGCACAATCAAATTTAAGGCATAATTACATTTGCACTCTTTCCAGAGCACAGGAAGATGGGCTCTGTAGCAGACTACATATGTCATCTAAAGTGTTGGCAGAGGACCTCGTGTGGTCTCGGTCATAAGGATAGCACAGAGATCACATAGGCTATTATCCTCCTCTGGTCCTATTTGTAAGAGTTGGGGAAGCGAGAATCAGCTGAGCTCAGTCATACAGATACTGCAAAGGTCACCAAGCTGTTAACCATATCCATTCCCAGCCTTCTGGGCAGAAAAAAAGGTTATACAGCTCTTCCTATGAGAGACAACCCTGCCTGTTAACATCCTGGTTCCCCTGGTGCTTATCTGTGCCCTTTACAAGTTAGAACTCTTCGATGCACACATCTCTTCGTGTTTATCTTTACACTTTAAGGCATCTTTAAGTCTTTACATCTTTAAATCTCACATTTTCCTTTTTGTTTAAAGACTGCTGACCTATATTAAAAGAAAATTTTCCTATAGTTTCAGTAACATTTATGACAATTTAGTACTTTCAGATTCTTTTTTTTTTTTTTTAAAGATGGATCACATGCAGATCTGGCTCAGCTCTTTGGTACTTTTCTTTCTTTTTTTTTAAAGATTTTTATTTACTTGTTTACAGTGTTCTGTCTGCATGTATGTCTGCAGGCCAGAGGGGGCACCAGATCTCATTACAGATGGTTGTGAGTCACCATGTGGTTGCTGGGAATTGAACTCAGGACCTCTGGAAGAACAATCAGTGCTCTTAACCTCTGAGCCATCTCTCCAGCCCCCAGTACTTTCAGATTCTAAGATATGCTGAGTAAACTCTGATACTTGAGAAACATAAGTAGAGGAATCTCTGCTACATAGTTTTAAGAGCAACCTGGGCTACCTTAGAACCTGTCTGAAAAAAAAATCAGGAACAGAAACCTTTCAGCACTCTCACAAGATGAACGATTGTAGAATATTAGTAAAGATGTGTTACATTTGTTTATGCTGTGAAACATTCGTTAAGATGTGTTGCATTTGTTTAACTCTGTGAAGTGGTGTTACTTTGCCTGTCTAAAACACCTGATTGGACTAAGAAAGAACTGAATGGCCAATTGCCAATTTCAAGGCAGGAGAAAGGACTGGCAGGCAGAGAGAATAAGGAGGAGAAATCTGGGAGGAAAAGATCAAGGAGCAAAAGGAGAAGAGAGGAGGACTCCAGGGACCAGCCACCAAGCTACACAGCAATCCACAGATTGGCTTTTGTTTTGTTTTTACTTTGTCGTTCAGGCAGTGCTCAGATAGCCCAAGCTGGTCTTGAGCGTCTTGAGGATGACCTTGTACTCCTAGTCCTCCGCCTGTGTCTCCCTGCTGTTGTGACTGACAGCGGTGAGCCACCACACCAACCAAGCATCTCTGGTTTCTTCTGCTACAGATCAGGTAGTAATTGCATTTTCCCAAAGAACAAACACATCCCTAACTGATGAATTTCACTGATTGCTGAAGGCAGAGAGCACTCTCCAAATCCACCAAACACATACTGAGAAAAACATGGAAATATGGAAACAAACTCTCAAATTAGTTCTTACAAAAATTTTCACCAGGGGGAGGAGAGATGGCTCAGCAGTTAAGATCATCAGCTGCTCTTCCAGAGGACACAGGTTCAATTCCCAGCACCCACAGGGCAGCTAACTACTGTATTGCCTATAACTCCAAGATCTGACACCCTCACACAAATATACATGCAGGCAAACACCAATGCACGTAAAATAAAAATTCTTTAAATTTTTTTTCACCAGCTCTCAAATGGTCTAATTCTCACCACACTATGATATAGATAAGACAGTAACTTGTTAGTTTTCCCTCAAATGAAAATGACCAATAAGGTACTAATTATACATAGCTTTTAATTACAAAGGCATTGTAAAGAATCAATACATTTTTGCAAAGTTGAGGAATGGCCAGAGAATATTACGTTAGTCTTTCTTCCCTCTTTCCCTGCCCCAGTTCACCATTTCTTCTTCCCTCCTCTCCTTCTTTGAATAACTCCTGGGCAAGAGCTGTGCCACTGAGCTACATCCCAACCCCCTAAGTACATTCAGTGTCTATATATTTACACATATTACATATAACTATTTACATATATTTGTGTGTATGTATGTGAAGATAGTATGCATATATGCATATGGACATTCACAGGTATGTGTGTGCACATGGAGACCAAAGGTTGACATATGATGTCTTTCTTTGATCTCTCTCCACATTGCTAGTTGACTTAGCCATTGTTGTATTGCTGTGAAGAGACACCATGGACACAGCAGCTCTTAGAAAGGAAAACATTTGCTACGCGGTGATGGCGCACGCCTTTAATCCCAGCACTCGGGAAGGTAGATCTCTGTGAGTTCAAGGCCAGCTTGGTCTACAAGAGCTAGTTCCAGGACAGGCTCCAAAGCTACACAGAAACCTTGTCTTGAAAAACCAAAATAAAGAAAGCATTACATTGGGGCTTGCTGCTTGCTTACAGTACCAGAGGTTTGGTCCATAATTGTGTTACACTTAGCCCATTATGCTCCATGAAGAAGGAAAGAGACTGCACTTGCAGGTTCCAAAGATTTTATTAAATCACCACATAAGCTGACTGACTAATCAGGGCTGCAGGACAAGGACTCTCCTAACAGCACTAAGTAGGGGCAGTAGTGGTGAAAAATAATATATCAGTGAAATCACAAATATTTGTTGCCAAGTTACAGTTACAATTTTCACCAATCAGGATTAGGAGCTTCCTTGAATGTATGTTCTATCATTGTAAATTAAGGCTTTCAGTCCAACCAGTCAGAGTCATTGTTCTTCCTGTTAGGAACAGCCACAATGTTTCTAAGGAGCTAAAGGTGTACAACCAGAGGACACATGTTTCTGTGGTTTAGGGAGGAGGCAGGTCAGCCATTGGAAAGTTCTCAGTTCCTCTAGGGCTTGGGAACCTGAACTTTCTTTCACCTTGCAAGTAAAATGAAGTCTGAAGACAAAATGGCAGTATTTGGGCCAAGGTGCTTTTGCCTGCACCCTTCAGCATCTTGGTGGGAAGCAGGGTGGCATGCAGGCAGACATGGATCCACAGACAACAGGAAGAGAGAGACACTGGACCTGACTTGGGCTTCAGAAACCCCAAATCCCACCTCCAGTGACACACTTCCTCCTCTAGGCCACACCCACTCCAAGGCCACACCTTCTGATCCTTTCAAAGAGTGCCCCTCCCTGATGAGTAAGCATTCAAATCCATGAGCCACTCTCATTCAAACACTACATTGATACAATATCTCCTGCTGAACCCTGAGTTCGTGAATTCCATTCAGCTGGTCAAGCTAAAGCTATCTTGCTCCAGAGATTACAGGCAGACCACCACAGCCACCCAACTTTCAAAAGCATACAGTCATCAAGAATTGTTCTTACTACTACCCTAATGCAAAGGGCATTTATACCCATTATAGTTCAATAACTTAGACACCTAGAAGGTGCATGCTAATAATTTATACCAATATATCACAAACCATATAAATTATTTGCTTAGAAATTTAAGTATGAATTCTAAAAAATGATACCCATTATAGTTCAATAACTTAGACACCTAGAAGGTGCATGCTAATAATTTATACCAATATATCACAAACCATATAAATTATTTGCTTAGAAATTTAAGTATGAATTCTAAAAATGATCTTAAATATACATTCTCCAGACAAACTCAGAAGTCAGTGTTTTTCATCTTAACATCTGTCAAGTATGCCGTATTGGCAGCGAAACCATAGGCAATCTGTAGGCGAGACTGCTGAAATGTCTATCTTTGTGGTTTGGGGACAGGGACTTGCTGTTTTGTCCAGTTCGGTCTTGAACTCCTGGGCTGGAGTGATCCTCCTCCACGAGTCTCCCGAGCAGACCGATCACACCTCCCTACCTGGTTATTTACACACTTTGGAAACCTGACGGTGGCTGGCTGAGATGAGACAAGCTGAGTAGATGTGAAAGGCTGGCTGATGCTTCTTGTGTTCACTTTAAAGCACTGAATTATGAAAGAATCCTGTTAGCATCCTCGGGTACAGCTAGTGACAGAGCACTTGCACAGGACCTTGGAATCTATTCCTACTACCACAGACACACAGACACACACACACACACACACAAGTCAGGCATGGTGGCTCATGTCTGTAGTCCTAGCATTTAGAAAAAGTAATCCTCCCAGAGGCGAGAGGACTAATGCAAACCGTGTACACTAATACAATATGGATTAGAGAGGAAGGAAATAATTTGTTTTCTAGAATTTTCACTTACTGTAATTAAGAAATCAAATATTTTATTTCCTATATGTAGGAATGAGGGTGCGTTGGTCAATTTTTTCTTTGCAGAGCTGGAAGCTATCAATTAAAGAGTGCTGTGCTTGGATGGAAGAACAGCGGGAGAGCAAGGCATGACGGCGCATGATGGTGCATGCCTATAACCTCAGCATGCGTAAGGCGGAGTTCCAAGGTAGCCTGAGCTACACAAAGAGAGACCCTACCTTTAAAAAATAGACAGTAACAATAAGTATTCTATCCAGAAGATGCCCAACACTGTTCCTTTTCTGAAGATAAAAGCATCTGCTTAAAGAACGTAGGCAAGTGGATCTCTGTGAGTTCGAGGCCAGTTCCAGGACAGAAACTCTGCCTCAGAAAAGAAACAAACAAAGAACTTCAGTGTTGATGTGATAAATTATTATCGAGTATCTGGGGAGACTTATTATTCAAATGTCTTGACTGAACTCTATATACATAGGAACTGAACTATAAGGACAAAAGGCAATTTGATCCTAACATGTGTAGGAAATAGCCTGAGTTTAGGCTAGAAATATAAACAATCAAAACTGGAGGTTTTTTAAAACTCAACTGACCTTATAATATTAGAATAGAAATATTAATAACTTCAAAATGTCACCTGTCACTTGTAATTTTAGCCAAAGCACTAGAGTTGTGAAAACCTGGAAGGAAGACTTTCAGGCTGGAATGAATGGGAAAGGTTTGGATAACAGTTAAAAAAAATCATTGATAATTTCAAAACAAGTTGGCCTATGGAAAAGGAATTCTTCATGATCGAACCCATAATAATTGGTTGGTGACGCAGGCCTGCTGCAGGTGACCGAGAGCAATGGAGACACAAAACCGAGTCTCTACAGGGGTCCTGGACTCCTCACTCCTCTGGGGGCCTGTCGCTCGCCTCCTTCCTGCGAAAGAGGATGAACACGGACTTCACTGTGCCGTCACCACTCTGCTGGGAAAAGCACAGGAAGGTGGCCCAGAGGAAACCGCACAGTCCTGTGTACGCTGTTCTCCAGTGCACAGGGACAAGGCTGAAGTTGGTCAGCTGTAGTGTAGAAAGAGTCTGTTAGGAATGCATAGGTAACAGTTTGTTTTGGGTTTTGTTTTTTTTCCACGCTAGGAACTGAACTTTTGACCCAGCACATGACAGGCAAATGCTCTACCATTGAGCCAAGGCCCAGCCCCAGATTCTCTTTTTTTTTGTTTTTTTTTGTTTTTGGTTTTTTCGAGACAGGGTTTCTCTGTGGTTTTGGAGCCTGTCCTGGAACTAGCTCTTGTAGACCAGGCTAGTCTCGAACTCAGAGATCCGCCTGCCTCTGCCTCCCAAGTGCTGGGATTAAAGGCGTGCGCCACGGATTCTCTTTTATTATTGGTTGTGAGCCTAGCCTTTAATGGCTGAGCCATCTCTCCAGCCTCTAGCCCCAGATTCGCTATAGCTTGGCACTCACCTGCACAAAGGGCCAGTACATCAGACCACTCTGGAATAAAGAAAGCCCACATTAGAATGCTGTCTAGTTACAAAACAAAAGCAGAGTTCATTCTATAAGACACTAGAAATGTCAGGCATGTAGGCTGCCCAGCAAGGACTGGATTGCACTCTGAGCTGATGAAATGGAGACTTCCTGACACCTTGCAAATAGAGCAGGTGGAGACTTAAGGCACAGCTTGTAACTGAGGACACCTTTTGTTAGCTATAAGTGTGGAATGAAAAGTCAGCATGAGATTCTGGAAGCAAAAGACACTTTTAAATAATCACATGTATTTATATATTATAATTTCCAAGTGAGTATCAGAATATAATATATATTTTTTTAATATTTATTTATTTATTATTTATACAGTTAGCCAGAAGAGGGTACCAGACCTCATTATAGATGGTTGTGGGCCACCATGTGGTTGCTGGGAATTGAACTCAGGACCTTTGGAAGAGCAGGCAATGCTTTCAACCGCTGAGCCATCTCTCCAGCCCCATATTATACGTTTTATATCAGTGAATTATTCAAAGTATATTCCAAATCAAAAGAAATTTTTTTCTGAGATAGGGCCTCACTATGGTGTCATTGGTTGGCCTGGAGTTTGGCCCACACTATAAATCAGGCTGCCTTAGAATTCACAGAGATCCGCCTGCCTCTGTCTCCCACTGCTGGGACAAAAAGGCATGTGTTACCACACCTGGCTAATAGAAACAGTTTTTGTTTGTTTGTTTTTGTTTTTCAAGACAAGGTTTCACTGTACAGCTTTGGCTGTCCCGGAACTTGCTTTGTAGAGCAGGCTGGCCTCATACTCAGAGATCTGTCTGCCTCTGCCTCCTGAGTGAATGCTATCTCTTGGTACAGAACAAGATTAGCTGACACTACAAAATTTCTTCTTACATATATTTAGTGTGTGTGTGTGTGTGTGTGTGTGTGTGTGTGTGTATAGGTAGGTAGGTCGGAAGATACTTGCAGAAGTCTTTGAGACTGAACTCAAGTTCTCAGACCTGGTGGCAAGCCCCTTTACCTACTGAGTCATCTTGCCAACATTTTAATTTTTAAAATCATTTTTTTATTTATTTGCTTTTGTAATTGGGTCTTGCTCTACAGTTCGGTTTGGTCTCAAACTAATAGTGTCCTCCTGCCTCAGCCTCCTGAGTGCTGGGGTTATAAGTATGAGCCACTATACTTCAATAATTAATTTTTAAAAATATATATATGAGGGGTTGGAGAGATGGCTCAGTGGTTAAGTGCATTGCCTGCTCTTCCAAAGGTCCTGAGTTCAATTCCCGGCAACCACATGGTGGCTCACAACCATCTGCACTGAGATCTGGTGCCCTCTTCTGGCCTGCAGACATACACACAGACAGAATATTGTGTACATAATAAATAAATTATATATATACACGAGCCAGGCAGTGGTGGTGCACGCCTTTAATGGCAGCACTTGGGAGGCAAAGGCAAGAGGATCTCTGTAAGTTCAAGGCCAGCCTGGTCTACAAGAGCTAGTTCCAGGACAGGCTCCAAAGCTACAGAGAAACCCTGTCTCGAAAAATCAAAATAAATAAAATTAAAAAATAAAATATATACATGAGCCAGTTGGCAAATCTTTAATTCTAGCACTTGGGAGGTAGAGTATGTATGGGGTGTGTTGTGTGTGTGTGTGTGTGTGTGTGTGTGTGTGTGTGAAAGACAGGATTTTTTCTGCAGGAACACAGAAATCAGCTTGAAGGACCTTCCACTGGCCAACTCTGGAATGCTTGCAAGCATCAAAATTAATTAAACATCACAATGAATTATAAACTGCTGGAAGAAAAAAACTGCAGAGTACACACCCACCAGCCATAAAGGAGACTCCAGAGTACATACCCACCATAAAGGAGACCCCAGAGTACATACCCATCATAAAGAAGACCCCAGAGTACATACCCACCATAAAGAAGACCCCAGAGTACATACCCACCATAAAGAAGACCCCAGAGTACATACCCACCATAAAGAAGTGGACAGAAGAGCCCGCCCTTGCTCACAGTCCAAAGCTGAGTGGCACCTGGTGAACACTAGGGCCGGGAAGACTCACCACACAGTACTCAGCACAGCAGGGTAGTCAGAAATGGTGCAGAGGTTAAGCTGTGCACAAGTACCTAGCATGCACAAGACCCTGGATGATAGCCCCAGCACTGTAGGAAAGAGGGAAGGTGAAGGAAGGGGAAAGAGAATGGAGGAGAAAGAGGCTCAGACTACTTGGAAGATTGTGTGATCCCAGCTACTTGAGAAACTGAGCAGGAGGATTGCAAGTTCTACATCTGCCTAGGAAACTTAGTAAGTCACTTCCTCAAAAATGATTGGTAAAAAAACGCTTGGTATAACTCATGGGTAGCACGCACGTCTAGCATGCTTGGGGTCCACTGCAAAAAAAAAAAAAAAATAAGTAAATAGGGCTGAGGATATGGTTCAGTTGGTAGAATGTTTGCCTAGCATTCACAAATCTCTGGGTTCAAGTCTCAGCTACATAATGAGCTCAAGAATAGCCTTAGCTACATAAGACAATAATTTCAATAATAATAACAATAATAGACTGGGGTAGGTAGGGAGTGATAGGTTACTTGCCTAACGTATGTGAGGACCTGGGTCTAATCCCAGTGCTGGAAAGGAAATAAAGACATAAGGCATGCCAAGAATCCTAGGTCTTGCACCAAGGCAGTACTAAGGGAAGAGATTACCAATGACCTGTACTGCCAATTCCGCTTCCTCTTCTTTCTAACATTTGACATACAGCACAGTGTGGTAGCCAACAACGCCTATAATCTCAGCACTCAGGAGGCTGAGGAAGGATTACTGTACATTTGGGGACAAGCCTTGAGTACAGAGTAGGTTTGGGCCAGCCTGGGCTACAAAGTGAGACCTTGTTTCAAAACAAACAACAAAATCAATACATGTTTAAATTAATAAAACATGTCATATGTGTGTATCTCTCTTGAATCTGATATAATGGGAAACCTCACTCCCTTCTAAAATAAAGGACAAGGGCCGGGCGGTGGTGGCGCACGCCTTTAATCCCAGCACTCGGGAGGCAGAGGCAGGCGGATCTCTGTGAGTTCGAGGCCAGCCTGGTCTACAAGAGCAGGTTCCAGGACAGGCACCAAAGCTACAGAGAAACCCTGTCTCAAAAAGCCAAAAAAAAATAAAAATAAAAAAATAAAGGACAAGGAAGTCACATTCCAAGGACGCTGTAGAGGCACAATTTCTACCCCAAGAGAAGTAGAAAGAGTTCTAAACCCCTTCCTTGCAGGAAATGTCTCTAACTATGGGGACTTTGGGGTTCTCTGGCTTCAGATCTCCAGCCTACCTTCAATCATCAAATGGACATTGCTGGTTCTGGGCTCAGATCCATCCACCAGAAGATCCTGGAAACACTGCAAGTGACAGCTCAATGTGGCTTCATAGTGTCTTGGCTTTTGTGTCTTTAAACCGAGAACCCCTCCACTAAACAAACACTTCTACCTCCAAGCTATAGCTCTACCCTCAGCACTGCTAAGATGCTCTACCCCAGACAGAGACTAAGTACATGTAAGACATTAGCGATATATTTTGGGATCCTGACAATTTATCTGATTGTTATTATTAGTTGAATCAGTCTAGTGCTGGGTCAAAGCTGAGAAATGTCACTGACTTTGCCAGGCCTGAAGACAAGCCCTCACTGAATGCATGGGTAGCGTTGGTTCAATATAGACCTTTGTCCTGAAGAAAGAACACAGCAGTAGATTTGCTTCACTAGCAATAAGCCTGGGAAACACCTCGGTGACATGGAGAAGGCTCTTTCACAGGACTCAACAGAACACTCACATCGCTGCACCAACAGTGGGGACGATACCTTGACGGCCCACTGACCACAATTCCTGTTTTACAAATAGGTTTGGAAACCTATTGAATAAATTGTGATTGCTGATCAGAATAAATCTAATGAAGTAAGAAATCATCGTGAACACCTGCCTGAATGCAGCGACAGTGTTTATTTCCTGTCCCTGAGAAGCAGATGCACCGACCTACAGTCTCAGGTACTTGGGAGGCTGAGGTAGGAAGGTTACGTGAGCCCAAAAGTTGTAAACTAGTTTGGGTGACATCATGAGATATTCATTTTCAAATTAAAACAAAATGTCACAAAATTGAGACAATGCTTTTTGAAATATTGGATTCCCAGATCAACCAAAGTTGATTAAGTCTAACTTAATCATGGTTGTTTTGAGTCCATCCTAGTGGCATAAACCTGTAATTCCATCTCCTCCAGAGGCTGAGGTCCCAGGAGAATCACCAGTTTCAGGGTTGTCTGAGCTAAGTGAACTGAATGCCAATCTGGTCAATTTATAGAGATCATTGCTCAAGAAAGGAAAGAGGGAAGTATTGAAAGAAAAAGAGAGTGGAAGGGAGGAAAGAAAAAAGCAGGAAGAAAAGGAAGGGAAAGGGGGAAGAAGGGAAAGAAAAAGAGAGTGGAAGGGAGGAAAGAAAAAAGCAGGAAGAAAAGGAAGGGAAAGGGGGAAGAAGGGAAAGAAAAAGAGAGTGGAAGGGAGGGAAGAAAAAAGCAGGAAGAAAAGGAAAGGGGGAAGAAGGGAAGAGACTGAAAAAAACCTAGGTGGGCCAGCAAGATGGCTCAGTGGGGAAAGGAGCTTGCTGCTAAGTCCGAGGACCTGAGTTCAACCTCTGGAATCCACACAGTGAAGGAGAGATCTCCCACACTCCTAAGCCCCATCATTCCACTAGATAAATAATATCACTGTTGGGGGTGCTCACGCATGTGCGTGGAGCTCAGGGACCACTGTGAGAGTGGCCATGTGAGTCCTCAGGCTTGGCAGCAAACTCCTTTACCCAATGAGCCTTCTCAACAAATGTTAAAAATATTTAAAAAGATACAATTAGATTTTCAAAAGCCAGCCTTACCTTATATGTATTCCAGAATTTTTGCTTCAGGTCCAAAAATATGTCATCCTTTCCCTGGAGAACGCTCATACCTATTTACAGAAACATAACAGAAGGAGTTCAGAAGCAGAACGACCACTGTCTCATCCCAACAGCATCCAGGCACATCCAGTTCCAACCATTCACTATGTGGCTGTTGACCCAACAGGAAAACAGAAATATCTGTTTTAAAACCGAATTTAAAGGAACACCAAGTAGGAAGTAAGAATAGCCAGGTATAAAAGTTATAGCAGAATTATTCTTTATCTAAACAAAGAATCCACAAAATGCAAACTAATCCTAGTATTGGATAATGAGCTCGCTGGTGTCTTTCTAGTTTGTGTTTATTTCACATTTATTTGTTTATTGTGTGTTTGCATTTGCCACTGCCCAAGTGTGGAGGCCAAAGAACAACGTGCTGAGGTCAGTTCTCTTTCCACCCTGTGGGCTCCACGGTGGTCAGGGTTAGGAGCAGGTGTCTTTCCTCACAAGTATGTATACCACATGCTGTGGATAAGGTTGCAAGCCGCAGTGTAGGTGCTGGAAAGTGAAGCCTGGCCTTTTGCAAGAACAACTGTTCTTAACTGCTGAGTCATCTCTCCAACCCTGGCTGTCCTGGAACTCACTCTGTAGACCAGCCTGGCCTCGAACTCACAGAGATCCACATGTTTCTGCCTCCGAGTGCTGGGATTAAAGGTGTGAGCCACTACACCCAGCTCATTTGTTGTTTTGTGAGACAGGACTTCAAGTATCACAGGTTGGTCTCAAACTCACTATTAGATAGCCAAAGATGATTTGATCCTTTGTCTCTGCCTCTCATGTGCTGGAAAAGTACAGGTGGGAACCACCATTCCCAGACATGTGTTGCTGGGAGCAGAGTCCAGAGTCCAAGCCCTCTGCCAACTGAGTTGCAGCCCTGGCACCAACTTTGAAAACAACAACAACAACAAATTAACCTTTCCCCCCTTTCTTCTCCTTCCTTTCCTTTGTTCTTTTTAAGTTGTGCTGGGATTAAACCTGGGGCCTCCAGCATGGTAAGCCCACACTCTAACAAACTCTCACCTAACTTCATTCCTTTAAAGATACAAACTACTGGGCCCTGGACATTCCAGCAACTACAATTTTCCCATCAGTATATTCTAAGCAGAGTTTAACATTCGAGAAATAGAGCCAGAACCTTACTATTAAAGGTGTGTAAAAACAACCCTTAAAAATTCTGACAGCCCTGATTGTGCACTTAGGGGGATGGGGGTGGGAATAAGAGTGTGTTATTAGTCAATTACACAAGACAGAACCCAGCAACTGTTGTAGTACTGTGACCTGCTTACCCAGTTAATGCTAAGTCCTTACATCAGCACGTCACATGACTGCCTTACAGCTAATTAGTCATGGTGGCACTGGAAAGCTAGCGAGCAAGAGGCTGAGGCAGGAGGACTGCCATGAACACTACACAGCGTGGCTTTGTCTAAAGAAGTGTTTAGCGAGGCAGGCAGCAAGCCCGTGTCCAGGTGCAGGCCCTGACCATCAGTTTTGAAGGAGCTCATGTTCCCCTTCACTGGAACATGAAGGAGGGAGACTGAACCACAAATCTGGAAGCAAGACGCAGCAAAAACCCAGAGGGGGTGATCATATCAGAGGCCTCAGGCCTTCACCCTAGGTGTCTCCCGCACTCCGGGACAGCACCATTTCCCAGTTTCCTACTATGACTACCAACATCAAGATGAAGAACATGGCTGAAGCCTGGATTATGCTGTCTTCTGGTGAACTTCCAAATCCCTCCATCCATGTCTCCTCATTCTGTAACATGCATGGGAATTGTGAGAGTATCCGCCTTATTATTGTATTCGTATTACCTTAGTATTGTGATATCTCAAAGATCCAATAGGAATCTAGCCTGTCAAGTCACAGGACTTGACTAACCCTTCGTCACTGCACCAAGGGTCAAGCCATCCAGCCCAGCGTGAAGAGAACTCCTTCTCAGGTACACAACCCCCTCCCATTCTCCCTGTGACTCCCTGCCCCTCACCTCAGGGAACTCTTGTTGCCCAAGCAAGACTAAGGCCCTGGAAATGACTTCTCTGTAATCTCAGGTTCCACCCGCTCTGCCCCCAGAGTCACCGATCCCCTCATTTTTGAATTGGTGTATTGGCTGTGTGGTTTTCCCAGAACAGGTAGAGCACAAGGATGCAGCTACTAGGAGGTTAGCTAAGCCAAAGTCTCTTGGATGTATCCTTTTCTGGAGGAAAATAGACCCCACACTCACTTACTCACTCATTCTTGAACACCTTAGCATCTCAGCTCTGACACCAACCCACTGAATCCCTGGCACGCTGGATCTCCAGTTTTCCGGCCAGCAGCCCCCAAATTCTTCCCCAAGGAAACCTTAAATCCCCTAATATCCAGTCTTCCTGTTGCTGCTTCAAGGCCTCGTTCCAGCCCTGCCTCCCTGGCCGCAGAGTTGTCACCTCCTGCCTCAGCCCCAGTGGTTTCTGATCTCAGGTCTCTGCGATCCCCAATCTTCCCCACTCCCCGAGCCTCCTGCCGGGCCTGTAGTGCCCCATCCCAGACTCCGATCTGCGCCTTGGCCCCTCACCGACGTAGAAGGCCGACAGGTATATGGGCCCACCGACAGTCTGGTCGCACAGCACCTTGGCCAGGACCGTGCGCGGCGCGCGGCCCGGCAGCGCGCGCTCCAGAAGACGCAGCCACACGTAGTTGAAGTTGCCGTGGAAGGTTACGGCCAGGGTGGCCACGCGGCGTGTCTGGCGCCAGTCGGCCGGGCCTCCCCGCAGCCTTTGCTGCAGCGCATCACCCGCCGAGAAGAGGCCGGCGTAGAGCAGCACGTTGGTGGGCCACGGATAGCGCTGCGCCGCGCGTGGAAACACACGCCACCAACTCGCCATACCGCCCAGGGTGCCTTCCGCTCCTACACACCTGATTGAGCCGCAGGCGCCAGGGCGATTGGATATCACTATGCACACCCAGCCCGCGTGCCCAATCCCGTCACGGTTGGCCATCGGGAGGGCGGAGCCTCTGCAGCATAAGGGGTCCACCCAGTTTGGGCAATTTACAAGAAATCTCCAGAAGAAGGAGAGGCGCTCAGACAAAAAGCAGAAATGTCATTACCAAAGGCCGGGCATTGTAAGAACTGTGGCTGCCACCGGGGCATTGGTGATGACCTCACGACTTTGTGAATATGCCAAAAACCAGCGGCTCCTACACTTTAAAATCGAAATTTGTTTGTTTGTTTGTTTGAAAGGGGATCTCATGTGTTCCAAACTGAGCCCCAACTCCGTATTTAGCTGAGGACGACTTTCAACTCCCGTTCTTCTGCCTCCACTTTCCATGTTCTGGGATTACAGGTTTGGGCCACAGGGTCCAACTTAAAGTGGACTTAAATTTTGTGACACGTGAATCCTATTTCTAAAGATGTGGGGCTGAAAAGAAGCTCTGTAGTAGTGCAGAAAGCCCCGGCTTCAGTTTCCCACTATTGCAATAAAAATGAAAAAAGCAAGCTAGCTCTGCTACCAAAGTGTCAATGTACTTGAGATGCTTGTATGCAGGGAATTCATTCTTTTAGCACACAATACGTAGCCTTTCTACGTCACTACGGGCCAAACGTCAAAGGTTAGGCTGAGACATTTCCTGAATGAAATAGTACTGGATGATGTATCGACTACTCTCCCCACTTCAGCTTGTGTCTCAGTGACCCTTGCCACCCCCAAACAGGTTTGGAGACCTATGGTACCTGCTCCAAAAGCAAAGGTGAGAAGGCATATGGGCAGCAGTTAGAAACTGACGTTCTGCAACCCATTTGACCCTTTTCCTGCCTGTTCCTCGTTCCTTGATAGCCAGTCTCTCATTCAGTATCGCTCCTCTCTTCTGTTTGTTCAACATATTAATTTTTCCTTTCTTTAAAAAAATCTAACTCCTTTTAAAGGATATTTTCTTTTGTTTATATTTTTGATTTTTATTTTTAGTGTGTGTGTTGCCTGCACATTAATATCACGCCAGGTTTCCACAGAGTCACACACATCATTAGCTACCACGGGGGTGCTGGAATTAAACTTGGGTCCTCGAGTGGTGAAGGGCAGTTCTCTCCTTCCACTTCATAAATCCTGGGATTGAATTCAGGCAGTCAGACTTGGAGACAAGTGCCTTAATCTTTTAAATCCTCTCACTAACTCAGTGTTTTAATTTTGAAATAATTCCAGACTTCAAAATATGTAGCAAAATTATAGAAAGGAAGCTGGATGTGATGGCAGACCTTGTCATTCCTGTACTCGGGGTAGGAGCTGCTGAGGCCACCCTAGGCTATATTACAAGATGCCATCTGAAGAAAACAAAAACAAAAAATACAAAGAATTCCCACATACCTTTGATCTTTTGTTTTGTTTGCGTCCAGGGCTCAAGTAACCTAGCCTCATCTTCCTAATCCTCCTGCTTCTGCCACAGTGCCCAGTCACCACATACTCTCTTCCCAATCCTCCCCACGTGTTGACATCTTGCATAACCATAGTAAGATTATCCAAACAAGGAAATAGGAGCTGTTGTAATAGAGTTACCCATTTACATGCTGATCTTCCTTAAGTTGGTGCCAGAAAGTCCCTTTCTCTCACCCTGAGCTGCCGCACTGCTGACCTACTTCAGTCCGAGCCATAGACCAGTTCTCTAAGATTGTTCCTACCTATGAGTTATTTTTATAAGCTGAATTGTCTCCTAGCCTGATTTATACATTGAAACCATAACTCTTGGTACTTAAGAATGTGACTATATCTGGAAACAAAGACCTTACAGAAGTGACCCAGTAAAAATGAGGTCATGAGGTAGACAAGACAATCTGTATGGTGTCTTCATAAGAGAAAATAGACTTATCAAAAGACACCATAGTGGATTCACACAGAAGAAAAACTATGGGTGGCTGGCTATTTGGACTGGTTATGGTGTCCTTGCTTGTATTTCTAGCACTTGAGAGGTAGAGGCATAGAGTTAAGAGTTCAAGATTAGTATCGTCTACACAGTGAATGAGTTTGAGGCCAGCCTGGACCATATAGACTCTGACTCTAAAAACCAAAATGGAGGACAGCAAGATGGCTTGGGGGGAAAGGTACTTTCTCCAGAATGCACATGGTAGAAGGAGGAATTTGTAGGAATTTGACTCCTACAAATTGTCCTATGACCTTCCCACATGCCATGCCATGTCCACTTGTATATACATACACACAGAGAGAAAGACACAGACACAGAGAGGCAGCGGAGAAAAAACTGAAAAGGAAGGAGGAAGTGGGGGAGAGGAGAACTAAAAGGGATGGGAGAAGGTGATACTCTGTGTCTATAAGTAAAAGAAAGGGTTCAGAATAGATCTAGCTTGACCTTGGCCTTCCACCTTCCCGAACTATAAGAAAATATGTTTCTATTGACCCTAGTCTGCAATATCATTACCACAGTGCACAGAAACGAATTCATCCTTCCTCTTCAGCCCCTGGGACTCTCTCTGCCAATGTCTGTGCCTTGACTTTCCATACTGCCCACTCACCGGTTTCCAGTGCTCTCATTGTTCTACCACTGGTCCTAAGTGAATCTGTCAGATTTTCCCCAGCTAGGCGAGCTTTTAGCTCAGCAACATATCTGTTTATTACTTATGTTATGTGTTATGTCTTAGTTATGGTTTTTATTGTATGATGAAACACTATGATCAAAAAGCAAGTTGAGGAATGTCTTAATTTGGGGTTCTGTTGCTGCAAGGAGACACCATGACCACAGCTCATGTGGGAGGTCCCTCTATCTATGTGTTGTTTTTATTGGTTAAAGAATAAAGCTGCTTTTGGAAAATGGCTAACAGAGTAAAGCTAGGCAGGAAATCGAAACAGAGATGCAGAGAGAGTAGACAGAGTCAGAGAGAAACCATGTAGCTGCCACAGGAGACAGACACCTCTGCTGGAGCCCACTGAAACTTTGGCAGTAGGCCACGACCTTGTGGTGATACACAGATTAATGGAGGTGGGCTAGTTTAGGATATAAGAGCTAGCTAAAAAATATGCTTAAGCTATTGGCCAAACTGTATTGCAAATAATATTGTTTCTGTGTGATTATTTCGGGTGTTAGCAGCTGGGAACAAATGAATAGCCTCTGACTACAGATTTCAGGAGTCTGGATGGCCAGGAAACAAATGAGTAGCCTCCGTCAATACACAGCAACTCTTTTTTTTAAAAAAAGAATTATGATTTATTTAACTTTATTTTATGTTCATTGGTATAAAGGTGTTAGATCCCCTGGAACTGGATTTTCAGACAGTGTGAGCTGCCATATGGGTACTGAGAATTGAACCCAGGTCCTCTGGAAGAACAGTCAATGCTCTTAACCATTGAGCCATCTCTCCAGCCCTCCATAACAATTCTTATAAAGGAAAAAAAATTTTTTTTGCCTCAAATTTGTTTAATTAAATATGTGTATAATTTTAGTTACGTACATAAACTGTTGATATGCTTACACAGTGTAGTGTTTGAAAGAAAATGACCCCCAAAGGGAGTTGATGTGGGAGTGTCATATATCAATCTGTTGATTTCATTGGTTAAGCAATAAAGAAACTGCTTGCCCTCATAGGTTAAAACATAGGTGGGAGGAGTAAACAGGACAGAATGCTGGGAGGAAGAGGAAGTGAGCTCAGACTCGACAGCTCTGCTTGCTGGAGCAGAGACACCATGCCCCGCTCCCGGGCAGACACACGCCTTGAAGCTCCAACCCAGGATGGACTAGGCTAGAATCTTCCCGGTAAGACCGGTTCTCACAGATTATTAGAGATGGGTTGATCGGGATATCAGAATTAGCCAGTAAGGGCTAGAGCTAAAGGGCCAAGCAGTGTTTAAATGAATACAGTTTGTGTGTTGTTATTTCGGGGCATAAGCTAGCCAGGCAGCTGGGGTGCCAGGGATGCAGCCCCGCCGCCTCCAATTACTACAGGGAGTGGCACTAATGGGAGGTAAAGTTTTGTTGGAGTAGGTGTGGTCTTGTTGGAGGAAATGTATCACTGTAGGGGTGGGCTTTGAGGTCTCCTATGGTCAAGCTATACAGTGAGACAGTTCAGTTCCTGTTGCCTGTTGATCAAGGTGTAGGATTCTCAGTATCAGCACCCTCTGTGCCTGCATGCCACCATGTCACCATCATGGACTAAACCACTGAAACTATAAGCCACTTCATTAAATGTTTTCTTTTACAGGCGGTGCTGTGGTCATGGTGTCACTTCACAGCAAGAAAACCCTAAGACACATAATGTTTTAGAAAACTAAATTCTGGGGTAGAAAAAAAACTATCGATAATTTCCCTCACATTTTTGGTATACTGCATACTTTTTCCATAACCTAAACATATTCATGACTTGGAAAGTAAATTTTAAACAACTATGTGCAAAATGTGAGCATATGAAAGAATCTTTCCCTATAGTTGCATATAGATGATAAGATTATACAGGACTTTCTTCTTCTATTTCATTACAGTACCTTTTCAATTGGGCAAGAGGAACTGGGTAAGTAATGAGCACACGCTGATTATATAATTAACAAGAAACTGAAGCCAAAGGAAAGTCAAATTTCCTGAAGCCTTCGGTTGTCTTCCCATTTAGATCTCTCAGTACCCAAGGCTTGCACGGTGTTTTTAACTGGATTCTGGAGTTTTAACTGAATAAATAAATTCTTTTTTTTTTTATTTGGCCCAAAGCAATTTATTTTAGAGGGAGTTTCTAAGCAGTTCTTCAATTTTTACATCATTACTTATTAAGACTTTTTCTATTTATTTATTAAAGATTTCTGCCTCCTCCCCGCCACCGCCTTCCATTTCCCTCCCCCTCCCCCGATCAAGTCCCCCTTCCTCATCAGCCCAAAGAGCAATCAGGGTTCCCTGCCCTGTGGGAAGTCCAAGGACCACCCACCTCCATACAGGTCTAGTAAGGTGAGCATCCAAACTGCCTAGGCTCCCACAAAGCCAATAC